CTGAGCCTCTCAAAGCACTGGGATTAGAGGCATGAGCCACTACACATGGCTGGAACTAGTTCCTTTAGGCCAACCTGAAAAACTGAGCTTGGCATGATAATGGTTGAGCTCTCAAAAAAAAAAAAAAAATTAATAAAAGCATTTAACAACCTACATGATCTTCAGTAAACAGTAGCAATAAGAGTATTAATTCTCAAATTGCATATCTTGAAGATTTCTAAAAAATGCAAACTTGCTTTTGGGAAATAAATTATAGAAAAAAAGAAACTCTTTAAAACACAAATTTTAAAAAACAACACTAGACTATAAGCTCCACAGGGCGGGGGTTTCTGTCACTTCTGTGCTCTGCGAGATCTCCCGTGCCTAGAACAGGGCCTGGCACATGGCAGATGCCCAGTAAATACATGGTGAATGAATATTTTAACAGCAAAGTTTCATTAACAATTTAAAAAATTATAGCTGCCCTTAACAGGCAGTGGATCAAATGGATACTAAAAAGCCAGATAATTCTGCATCTTAAATTGCCCCTGAAACAGACTGAGTAAGTCCAATTTTTCTTTTCCATTTATAACTGGTTATGGTTTCAACAAGTAGCCAAAGACCCGAGTTGAGAAAAAACCAAGTAACTGGATATATTTTCATATATAAAATGTTACACTTGCCAAATGTTATTACCAGTCTATAGACCACAGATTTCTAAGCCCTGCTCACCATCCTTGTTGGCTTTTATTCTCTAACATTCTTTAGGCTGCAGGTAACAGAAAGCAAACTCCAACTAAACTGAAGCAGTAAACAAGTGGAAGGGCTCTGGGGTGGCTGACGAACTTGACAAACAAGTTCACAGTACCTCCCTTAAGCATTGGAAGGAAAACCTTAAAACCATCAGGACTCTGCCTCTCTCTGGATGGCTGCTTCATTCTCAAGTTTTTTTCCATGAGGTTGGAATCAAGGTTGTCGGCATCACTGGGACTCCTATCCTCCTTTCCTGAGAGAAAATGTATCTTCCTAGCTCCAGTTAGAGAGCTGCTAGGGAGGGACACCTATGTGACCTATTTTGGGTCACAGTCCTGTCCTGCAGACTGGTGTCTGAGACCAGAAAGGAAGGACAGGAAAGAACGTGAACGTTTTGAGGCCAGGTGCAGTGAGTGGCTCAGCAGTGGCTCATGCCTGTAAACCCAGCACTTTGGGAGGCTGAGGAGGATGGATAACTTAAAGTCAGGAGTTTGAGACCAGCCTAACCAACACGATGGAACCCTGTCCCGGTCTCTCCTAAAAAACACAAAAATTAGCCACCTGTGGTGGTGGGCGCTTATAATCCCAGCTACTCACTTGGGAGGCTGAGACAGGAGAATTGATTGAACCAGGGAGGTGGAGGTTACAGCAAGCCAATATTACACCACTGTACTCCAGCTTGGGTGGCAGACTGAGACTCCAGCTCAAAAAAAAAAAAAAAAAAAAAAAAAAAAGAACTTGAACATTTTGAACGTCTCCCCTTTAGACCACGATAGCAGGACAAAGAGGACAGAGTAGCTCCCCCGAAAGAGGGGTGGGCCATTCTCAGGAATGTCTTATTGAGGGTCACAGTTGGCTTCTAGCTTGGTATGTTTTTCCATTAAAGATCAGTGTTTCCACAAGTAAATGCAGCCCACAGACCAATGTTTGATATTTGGCTTTACTTTATAAAAATACACAACTTAAATACTTATGACACTCTGTTTACAAGACATAAACAACTGGTAGATTTAACATTTTCAGTTATTTCAACAGAAAGAAAATATGTATATTACCTTGTAAGAGCAAAGAGCTCATTGATAGACTCTGCTTTCACAGTTAAGGGGGAAGAATGCCCAGGAGCAATCAATGCAGGAAGCTAACCAGCACTGTCCAGCTCCCCAGCAAAACTCATCTCGCCAATAGGGCCTCTATTGCACCGCCCAATATTGCACTGCTCGTTAGTCACCATCTCACTTATCCATGTCACAAGTGTAAGCTTTTGTCTTCTCTAGAAAAGTTTAATGGAAAAAACAATATACAAACAATATAACTGTGTCTTCCAATTGTGCTAAATACCAATTATCAGAAGTATGAACCTCTCTTCGCTTTACAAAGCTTGCAATGGAAGGTGGTTAGCTATATTTTGCAGCTAAGTTCATTTTCAAAAGTTTCACAAAAACTTTGATTCAGAGTAAGCTTGATGGGGTTCAGTCGCAAAGGAGGCAGCATTCCCATGCCTAATGGAATTACTTCTAAGAGGGGCACCCTCACTCTCAAAGGCAACATGCACATGGCTTACAGCTCCACCCTTTCTAACTTCAGAGCAAAATCCCTCCCTCGCCTTTGTGACGCTGTCATTGTTCTATGATTCGGAGCTTGCAGTGGCTGCCTACTTACTCAGGCTATCTTTCAGAAATTTAGCTGCCTTATCTATGGCTCGTTTAACTAACAGTGAGTCAGGTACTAGTTTATTGGTATAAAGAAATAGTTACTTAGTTTAGAATTCAACATATCAGAACCTACTAGAGTTAAGTTTCCTGAGGTAAATGTATGCCTTAAAGAAGGATGTGCAATCTACAGAACTGTAGCAATTTCTCTTGGGTAGCAACACAATGACCCCCAAGTCTGTACTTTTAAATTAACAGGCTAATGAAACCAAGGACACATTTATATGTAGAAATAAAAATGACAATGCTGAAGTCAAAGAAATATTGACAGCTGAGATATCAATCCAAAAGGAGGCATAAAGAGGAACAGACGAACAAAAGGAGGCTGTATTTTAAAGTGCTTAGGTAGGTTAGACGATGAATTTGAAATGCCTCCAGGGATTTCTAACAAGTTGAAAAAGTGTTACTTCTTGGTGACTCAGATGTTGAAGACATGGCTTTTCTTCAATAATAGCTATTCAAGCTTTTTATTCTTTTTTGAAAAACAAGATTCTCTATAAAAACGTTTTAGCCATTGTAATTATTCTGCTAGCTGTTACTCTCGCTAATGTATTCTGAAATCCTAACTGGCTGAAGGATTTTTAATAAAATTGAACCACAAAGCACACATCTGCACCAAGAATTTAAATTAATGCATAGAGGTCCGTGAAATTTTGCATGAAGTTAGTGCCAAAAAAAACCTTTCTGTTACAGACCATGCTTTGCTATTTCATCACATTCTGCTGAAGGATTATAGAAATCAAAAATTGTAGGACCCTGAAGCTTAACTTGCTTATTTTATTCCTTTTATGTAAATGAAGTGGTCTATGGCAATTCTTTTCTTTTTTTTTTTTTTTTTTTTTGAGACGGAGTTTCGCTCTTGTTACCCAGGCTGGAGTGCAATGGCACGATCTCGGCTCACCGCAACCTCCGCCTCCTGGGTTCAGGCAATTCTCCTGCCTCAGCCTCCTGAGTAGCTGGGATTATAGGCACGCGCCACCATGCCCAGCTAATTTTTTGTATTTTTAGTAGAGACGGGGTTTCACCATGTTGACCAGGTTGGTCTCGATCTCTCGACCTTGTGATCCACCCGCCTCGGCCTCCCAAAGTGCTGGGATTACAGGCTTGAGCCACCGCGCCCGGCCAGGCAATTCTTAACATTAATAATGAAGGTGTTGGAAACTGAGTTCCAAGACCTAAGAATCAAGCTCAGGAATTTTTCCGCAACTCACACGTAAGGATATGAATGGAAGCACTAATGAATGTTCTCTGCCACAATTGTTCATCTGCGCAATACAGTTGAATGAGGTTACCAATCTGGTATTTAATAACAGTGATGAAAACTGGCACCAGCTTTTATACAGCGCCTCACATTGAGTTATCATGTCAATCTGGGCTAACGCTACCATGCATGTCCCTCATTCATATGACTTCTACATGCTATTGTGAAGGACGACATATCTGAGTGCTTTCAGCATAATAAAGGCCTTCCTTAAGGAAAATTTAGGTCCTGAAGAACTCTGGGTTGAAGTTCTATAGCCTCAGAAGCCAGTTAAAAGGCCAGAGGAAAACCTCGTAAGAAATGACATATATCAAACAGTTCATTTAAAAAGTTGTTTCGATATTGCCAAGATGAAAACTGATAGGATAAAGCAATGCTCTGGTTTCCTGATAACAAGCCCAGTGTAGCCCAAGTACAGCCACACAGTGAGAAGCTGCTGTGTGGAAAATCCACAAGACTGTGGTGGGCTTGGATTGGAAGAAAGTGGCTTTTCTTCTTAGGTGGTAAGGTAGATACTCTTTGGCAATTGATATGGGATAGCTTTTTAAAATTCACAGGATAAGAATATTTTATATACTTTCAAGCCCCAATAAGTCAGCTAATTGAAAGTATATAAAAATGTGAATTAGTGTGGTTGCAGCTCAAAATATGAGTGATGTAACAAGAGTGGTGATGTAATGAGTCAAGTGCTGAGACTGGTTCTATAAGCAGTGTAAGGAGTGCCAGTCCTAATACATGAACTTCATCTATCCTTGTATACCAAGGAAGAGGAGACTGTGGCCAGAGAATGTATTTTGTAAGCTATAGTTTAAAAATACCACTCTTTAGAGATTTGGAGCCCAAGCAGGAATTACAGAGATTCCTCCCCGCAGAGGCCCTGAGATCTCCCCCGACTGGCAGCCAAAGGATCCATACTTGTCTCTGGTCAACCAGGCCCCAGCCAAGGCTGAGAAAAGGGAGGCGGCAGTGGCCAGAAGCCAGGGACTCAAGAGGAGAGAAATGATGGCAGATGCAGGGTTCAGAAAAAAACACAAGAGGGAAAGGGGAAGAAAAGAAAAAAAAGGAAGAAACAACACTGGAAAGGAAGTGCAGAAGAGGCCAGTTTTGCAGAGGAGTTGACCCTGCCTTTCCCACCTGCCTGAGGCAAAGGCTGGCAATAAGACAAGGGCTAAGCCTCTTAAGAAGTCTCTCCTACTGCATGCAGCAAGCTTGCCCCAAGCTCGGCTGGCCTTTCTCTCTGCCGATGTATGCAGAATCTTCACGTGTGACCTGTAAGTACCTTTTTTTTTTTTTTTCCAAACAGACAAAGTTTTATTATGTTGCCCAAGTGGGACTCAAGCTCCTGGGCTCAAGCAATTCTCCTGTCTTGGCCTCCTGAGTAGCTGGCACTACAGGTGGATACTACTGTGCCTGGCTTCTGCAAGTACTTCTTCCTGGGGTCTCATTCCTCATTCCCAGGTGCACAGTGCTCTCTACTGCTACCAGCAACCATTTCTATGGCAAAGGAAAGGCCTCAGATCCAGGGGCAGGATGAGCAGCAGCCAATGTACCTAGAATTTGTGGCTGCCACCACCTTTTCTCTTAGGACTGGCTTGTCTCTCCCCCTGGTGGCTGCAGAAGGGGAACAGAGTGAATGTCATAAAGGACTGCTCAATTCAGAACTGAATCGCCTCATTTTATAAACTCCCAAGGGGCTGCCAAGACTCATCATTACAGAGCGATGGTTAAAATACCACCTAAGGAACTTACTGTAAAATAAGCAGCAACTTGTCTGTAAGATCACGCTAAACTTACAGGGGATCTGATGTTGTTTGCTTCCATTTTTCTTATTCTCTTCTCTGATGATGAACTGAGTAAAAAAGAAAAAGGGAAAGGGTCCTCTTGTCCTCTCTTCCCTCCCTCCAGAAACCTCGTGGATTTCCCCAAGTGAAATGTCTAAGGGATGCTACAGTTACAGAGCTGACGAATGTGAAAAAAAATCAGATTACCTAGAAATATGAAATGAAGCATAGGGTGTAAGTGATGCTCAGTTCTCTTCACTTCATACAAGTGCAGATCATCTCTCAGTAAAATGCCTATGAAATGGCAACAGACACCTGAATTACTAACACACAAATGAATAAAAAGAGCAGTGAGATTCTGGGAAGGAAAACTCCATGTTGGTTATTTCACCTCTAGGGAAAGTCTGTTTGCGCTTGAGTCCCACACTTGGCTTTTTTCTCTACCTTCTACTTGATGTTTTTCAGGAGGGCTGTCCGAGCATTCACAACTGCTTTGAAGGCATCTTCACTACCAGGTGCTACACATTTGTCAGGGTGAAGAAGCACAGCAAGTTTTCGATACGCTTTATTGACTTCATCCCTGTGAAAAGAAACCAAGACCTGTGTTACTAACAGGGCTAGCCCAACCCACTGCACATTAGCTGCTTGGATACACATAATATCTCTTGCAGCAAACATACCCTAAATTATTACCCTTTCTCAAAGGCAAGATTAAAAGACTAGAAAACAGACATTGAACCAATAAATAATGTGCAAAATATAATACAAATAGAAAGTAGTCCACAATGCAAAAAGTATATAAATGCTAATGAAACACTTAGTAAAAGCATGATCAGATGAAAACAGGCAGTATTTGGCACCTTGCAGGCACTCAGCATATCTTTGCTGATTGAAAGAATAAGGGCTTGGGCACCAGGAAAGGCACAGGAGTTACCTTCTGAAAGAAGGGGTCTGGGAGAGAGCTGACAGTGGCCTGGAGTAGAGCCTGGACACAGCACAGACAGAAAGCAAAACAACCCCAACACCTGGGCTTGATAATTACAACAGTAGGTGTTTCATGACAAGTGTGTGCTGGGAAAACTGTTTCTTAAAGTTAGGATACAGGAGGTTGTTACATAGCCCAGGCATGAGTATAAGAGTTTAGATTAAGGTGTTTGTGGAAGGAAACAAGAGAAGATAAAATATAAAGAATGAAATGGCAGAGTGGATGATGAGCTGAGTATCCAGGAGGAGAGAATAAAAGGAAAAGGACTGAAATGAGCTCCAGGGTCAAGGTCATGAGGAATCTGAGACCCAAGAAGGTGATACCACTGAGCAGGCAAGGGATGCTGGAAAGAGGTAGACCAGAGTGACATTGAGCTCACTGAGATCAAAGAAGAAACATGACAGAGATCAGTATTATCCGGAGAGGAAAGGAGCTATAAGAGTGCCTCTCCAATCCAGCAGTTCCATAAACCAGCAGCGCTCCAGGAAAGAGCCGCAGGCTTCTGAGCTCCTTAAAGAGCAGAAACTGGCTGGGTTGGGACCTGGATATTCCTGTCCCCATCCCCACTGGTCATCACCCTCAGGTGTCACGCCTCCCAGAGGGATCTAAGTACCCAAGCACTCCCCCGGTCAGATTAAGCTCTGTCCCTACCAGGTGGTTTTATTTCCCACCTTCCTTTTGTAATTCAGGGTGCCAGTGATCCTATAAGCATGGATATGCTTATAGCCAAATGCCCTAGGCTTTCTCCTTTGTTTTTTATTAGAAGGATTTCTAATGTGGCTCTCTAAATCAGGGAGATGGCCTTTGATACCTTGGCTATGACAGCAAGTTTTATGTTTCAACTTTGAGAGACTGAAGTCATAGGGTCATGTTAACATTTCTCCAAATCTTAGGTATACATTTTAGGGCCTTTTCTGCTTTCTGCTCTTAGAGTGGTTCTGAATTTTCTTGTTTTAGCAAGAACCCCATTATTTCAGAAGGCTGCTTTGTGGGGGCCTTCCTGGTGCCCTGTGTGTTGTTTTTCTACATGTGTAACCGTGGTAATTTTGCTAACAAGAATGACATTCTTCCTCTCTAAAGCAATTTCAATTGTCAGAATTGTTATTTGTCCTAAAGACCCTGTGTCCATGAGGAAGGCACAGCATCCTCTTCTTCCATGAAGGAGTCCTGGGAAGGGCCCTTCCAGCCACTCTGCCTCCCGAGAGAGGGTGTCCACACTGGGTCAGTAGTTATACCTGGTCCTCTGCATTAACAGTGCCTTTCAAGATATGCAGGTAGCAGCAGAAACTCTCAAGATGTAACAAATACATCAATTCTGCTGAAGACGAAGATTTTCTTAAAGTTCAAGAACGGTAAACACAGTTAACACTCAACAAGTATCAAAACTCTCTACAACGTAAGAAAAAAATGTTTTAAGGTTTTTTTTCCCAAATGTACTCGGTCCCATACAAAATTAGTTTGCTAGGCCCAGTGGAACAAAGGTAAGAGAAGCACATGTTTCTATTGGTTAAGGATATGGATCCTATGGGGGTCTGTAAGTTCCAGTAAATTCCAATTAAGCCAAGTGAATACATAAGGAACCCAAAGTTTCTTCTTCCTCAATGAATATTGTTCTAAGTCTACTAGAAGTAGATAAAGTAACCATTTCTTAAGTTTAGAGCCAATATCCCTTGGAGATGACACAGAAGAATTCAGAAAGAGACTATGAAGGTCTAAAAAGAAATTTAAAAGATACAGATAAATGGATTCAGTGCAATCTTACTGAAACCCTACTGGCATTTTTTTTTTTCCATAGAGAAGCTGATCTGAAAATATATATGGAATTACAACAGATCCATAATAGTCAAATAATCTTGGGGGAAAAAAACAAAATAGGAAGACTCATATTTTCCAATTTCAAAACTCACTAAAAATCTACAATAAACAAGAGTGTAACACTGAACAACAACAAAAAGAAGATCTCAATAAACTCTGTAGTCTACACATGAGGTCACCTGAACTCCCTGACAGGTTTAAAGCATCCTCAATATCACCTGGTGAGTGAGTGTGACCAGTAGCAGCCTTCCCCTTCCCTTCCCTCTTTCCTTCTGGACTTGAAGATATGCTGTGAGGCCAGAATGGAGAAGAGATATTTAGTGCTTTGGGTGCTGCATGGCAATTTCAAGACATGCTTTTTTCTTTTGTGGGAACCAAGGTGAAAAAGTAGGAAGGGTGAAGTAAATGTGAGGAGACAAGGTACAAAGTAAGACACATAAATTACAACATGTGTAGTAATGGTAGAATTAAACCACTGAAAGTTACAAAACCATACTGAATAATAATTTAAGTCTTGTACAAGCAACAAAGAATAGTGATTGTATTATTTTCTTGAATAACTCTTTTCACTAAAAAAATAATTAACATAAATACACACACAGAGGGCTGGGTGTGGTAGCTCATGCCTGTAATCCCAGTACTTTGGGAGGCTGAACTGGGTGGATCACCTGAAGCCAGAAGTTAAGAGACCAGCCTGGCCAACATGGAGAAACACCATCTCTACTAAAAATACAAAAATTAGCCAGGCATGGTGGCACGTGCCTATAATCCCAGCTACTCAGGAGGCTAAGGCAGGAGAATCGCTTGAACCCAGGAGACAGAGGTTGCAGTGAGCTGAAATTGTACCACTGCATTCCAGTCTGGGTGACAGAGTGAGACTCTGTCTGAAAACAAAATTAAATAAATAAATTAATTAAATTAAATTTAAAAATACACACATAGATGAGGAACTTGCAGGGCTTCAGAGACAAAGACAGAGATAGATGAACATACAGTGTTCCAGGGTAAAGAACCAATGATACCACTAACTCCTGGGATTCTTGAACATGTTTAATCTCACTGAATCCCAGTTTCCCACCAGTAAAATGAAATGTTTGTACAAGTTGATTGCCAAGATGCTTTCTTCCTCTAACATTCTATGATTTAAGGATTCTCTTTTGTTAAGTTTTTTTTTTTTTTTTTTGAGACGGAGTTTCGCTCTTGCTATCCAGGCTGGAGTGCAATGGCACAATCTCGGCTCACTGCAACCTCCACCTCCTGGGTTCAAGCAATTCTCCTGCCTCAGCCTCCTGAGTAGCGGAGACTATAGGCGCACGCCACCACGCCCAGCTAATTTTTATATTTTTTAGTAGAGATGGGGTTTCACCTTGTTGACCAGGATGGTCTAGATCTCTTGACTTCGTGATCCACCCGCCTCGGCCTCCCAAAGTGCTGGGATTATAGGCGTGAGCCACCGCGCCCAGAAAAGCAGAGCATACCATTTCATAAAGCGTTTATATACATGACAGTTTTCTCAGCAGGCGACTGTGTCCTCTATTTTGTCTCTGGTATTCAGCTAATTCAGAGAAACAGAGTCATTCTAATATATTTTTATACATCTTTGTATTTCCAGCCAATTGGAAGAAGATACACCGCACCTGTAATTTTGGTGGTGAAGTCTTTCTGTATCATAGAGGTCAGCACTGAGTATCTCAGAGCGCTTACCTTGAGGCCCCAGGTTTGACTCCCAGCATGTCCCAACTGTCTTTACTATTTCGAATTCTGCGAATGGCATCTGCCTGTTCTTTGGTGAAACTAGCACTGCTATTTGTAGTAGGGCGTTTCCCGCCATTTTCACATAAATCAACTATGGATACATAAAAGGTCTGCAAAAAGAAAACACATCCCAGTGTAGAAACGATTTGGTGAAAATAAGAATTCCTTTTAAGTATCAACTTAAGAGACTTTTAATATATTCCAGCAACTCATAGAAGTCATGTATAAAGCAAATACATACTTTGGAAGATTTTTTTCTTTTATACTATTTAAATATAAATATATATATATTCACCTTTTAATATACAAAAAGTGTAAGGAATGAAATTAAAGTGGCTAATAATCCTATTTTCAGATAACCACACTTGAAGTTAAAAAGTAACAGATGAGCTGGGTGTGGTGGCTCACGCCTCTAATCCCAGCATTTTGGGAAGGCAAGACAGGCAGATTGCTTGTGCTCAGGCATTCCAGACCAACCTGGGCAACATGGCAAAACCCCATTTCCACACACACGCAAAATACAAAAACTAGCTGAGTGTGGGTACATGCTTATAGTCCCAGCTACCTGGGAGGCTGAGGTGGGAGGATGGTTTGAGCCCAGGAAGTGGAGGTTGCAGAGAGCCCAGATCATGCTACTGTACTCCATCCAGCCTGATCCTGTCTCAAAAACAAATCAACCAACTCAAACCACAAAAGTAATAAATGAACACAGTTAGAAAAATACAAATAGTAAAGAAAAGTGTAAAATGAAAACTGTGTCTCTCTGTGCCTCAAGTTGCTCTCCTGGAGGCAACCATTGTTAATTTTTTTTGAACATCCTTCCAGAAAAATTTACCATCAGTATGCCAGTATACACACAAATCCATACTCTCAACATGTACCTAAAGGAGGTCAGCTTAAACACATCTTAGCACCTTGCATTTTTTTCCACATAGTAATACATCCTGGAATCTTTCTATAGTTACATACAGAGACTTTCTTTGTTTTTTTAAATGACTGTTCAGTATTTTATCGTGTGGTTGTACCATAATTTATATAACCAACTTCTATTCTTGGACAAGTCAGTTGTTTCTAGTTTTGTTTTGTTTTTTTTTCCCACTACAAACAATGTTTTAGTAAATTTTTCTTTTGTGTATACATCTCCGTACACTTGTGGAGATACTGCTTTAGGATAAATTCCTAAATGCAGAACTGTTGAGCAAGAGTGTATGCACATTTTAATTTTTGAATCTGACAACTGTTGTCCAAAAAAAGCTGTACCAGTTTACATTCCCATCACTGTGTGTGTGAGAGTGCCTGTTTCTCCACATCCTCATTAACATTGGCCATTATCAAACATCTCAATTTTTGCCAATCTGATGCACACCTAATATAGTTTGATTGATTTGCATGTCTTTAATTGTAAGTGAACGCGAGTATTTTTCCAGATGCTTATGGTCTTTTCTTTTTCTGCATACTTCATATTTTTTGCCCATTTATTATTTTTTTTGAGACAGAGTTTTGCTCTTGTTGCCTAGGCTGGAGTGCAATGGTACAATCTTGGCTCACTGCAACCTCCTACTCCTGGGTTCAAGCGATTCTCCTGACTCAGTCTCATGAATAGCTGGGATTACAGGCATGCATTACCATGCCTGGCTAATTTTTTTTTTTTTTTTTAGGGTTTCTCCATGTTGGTCAGGCTGGTCTCAAACTCCCAATCTTAGGTGATCTGCCCACCTCCGCTTCCCAAAGTGGTGGGATTACAGGCATGAGCCACTGCGCCCAGCCTTTTTGCCCACTTTTACAATTTTGTTTTTTCTTTTCTTTTCTTTTTTGAGACAGAGTCTCGCTCTGTCACCTAGGCTGGAGTCTGGAGTGCAGTGGTGCGACCTCAGCTCACTGCAAGCTCTGCCTCCCAAGTCGAAGCGATTCTCCTCCCTCAGCCTCCTGAGTAGCTGGGACTACAGGTATATGCCACCACACCTGGCTAATTATTTGTATTTTTAGTAGAGATGGGGTTTCACTGTGTTAGCCAGAGTGGTTTCCTGACCTCGTGATCCACCCATCTCAACCTACCAAAGTGCTTATAGGCATGAGCCAGTGTGCTTGGCCTGCTTTTTCTTTTTTTTTTTTTTTTGAGACAGGGTCTACGTTGGCCAGGCTGGTCTCAAACTCCTGGGTTCAAGTGATCCTCCTGCCTCAGCCTCCCGAGCAGCTGGGATTATAGGTATGTGCTAGTGCACCTGGCTATACGTTTCTGGTTTTTTAAGTGAAAGTTTTTTTGAACCTGCTCATGTTTCATGTTCTGTGTACTGTAATTATTATTGAATAATACTCATTTACCACACCATAGCTACTTTTAAATAGACATATTTCCTCTTCTAATTTCTTTAAAAATCTTTTCATCTTCTTTTTCAGATTCTTCTATAGTTCCTGTTACCTTCTAAAATTTTTGTCTTTCTTTTCGACTGTTCTTTCTTATCTCTAGTAATAGCTAATCAACTTGGTAACCTAAAAAGAAGCCTTGATGTTTGAAAAGGGTGTCAAAGGATTACCACTGTTTTTAGAGACCAAGACACAAGAAGTATTAGCTTGGCTTTACTCTCTTTTAATATTGCTCTCTCTAGTAACAGTATCAAAAAACCAAGTTCCTTTCTGACATAAAATGTCTATTAAATAGACAGGAAACAAAGAAAATATTTACTGAATTGAACCAGCAGGAAAGCATTACTTTTAAGTACTTATAGAAAAGTGTAATTAATTATTCTCTTCTTGTTGGCCTTTTTTTTTTTTTTAACAGACTAATTTATCCATTAGTTCTATCCAAGATGTATCTAAAAGGATAAAAGCCACATAAAAGGGATCACAGTTCATGGATATTTGACAGTGATATGTATCAGTAAGGTTATCGTCTAGCCTATGAATTAACCTGAAGTATGAATACTCACAGATTTCTGAGGGCACAGGATTCCATTCACTATACACATGCTTGTAGAAGACAAGCCATGGTGTAAGTTACAGAATACTAGGATTGAGATCAAAGCCTGTTTAAATTTCATGTCTGAGTTCCAGCCATGACAGGGTAATGAATACTGGATTAGACCTCCTGCCATCAACTACGATTGAACTGGGAAAAAAAACTGTTGGCAGTGGACAACAGCAAGTGCAAGACCGCTCCCTGAAAAGGAAGCCCCACAATCACCTGGCTGCCTAATTGGAGTCCATTTTCCTGACCACATCACAGAGAGCTAGAGTCTGCTCAGACTCTAGCTCTAAGTCTCTCCTCTCCTTAGAGGCAGAGATTGGAGTTTGAGGCTGCTGAGGTGGCTAGAATCTGCACAGCAGGCCACAGGAGAGGAGAGAGCTGGGCAGAGCTGGGCACACCAAGTCCATATGGGGGTCTCTCATAAGTCTGTAGTCAAAGGCTGGGCTATATATGCATAGGGTGAGATCACCCAAGGCTTACCAAATAACAGCTGGTATGGGGTTGAGAATAAAACCAATAACCTGAGGTCTAGTGGTGCCAGAGGCAGAGCTATCTGAGAACTTTAGGGTTTAGTTTTGTCAGAGTGGAGATACTGCCTTAACCCCTTATTAATAGCCCTACCATCTACTGAGGCACCACAGAAAGGCTGTGCCTTAAAAGTTAAAGACTCATCCTAACAAAACCTAAAACCAAAAGCTGACAAGATCTGGAAAAGAGGCAGAATTTGGAAGCTGAGTCCTACCAAATTAGAATGGCTTGGGCTTTCTTCAAATCCTTGCTATTAAGGAAACACTTTGGGCTTCCTTCAAATCCTTGCTATTAAGGCCAAAAAAACAAGCCAACACAAATTCATTTTAATTTGTCAATAATTGAACTGCTTCCTGAGGAATCAAAAATCAACATTCGACCTTCTTCAATCAAGAATCAATAGTCTTCCCAGGAAGATAAAAGAATCTATAGTCTCTACAATGTATATTATCCACAATGCCTTGTGTTCAATCAAAAACCACTGCTCATAGAAAAAAATATGAAAATGTGATCCATAGGAAAAAAAGTGGTAAATAGAAACTGAACCCAAGAGAGTTCAAATGTTCGACTTAGCAAAGATAGTAAAACAGCTATCATAAATATTTCAAAGAGGTAAAGGAAAATACATTCAAATAATTAAAAGAAAATATACTCTTAATGAGTGAGCAGAGAATTTTAATAGAGAACTGGGAACTATACTGGGAACCAAATGCAAACTCTAGAGCTGTAAAGGACTGAGCTGAAAACTTCCCTTGGTGAGTTTAACAGTAGATTGTCAATGGTGAAGTCAAATCAAGAGAGATTATGCAATCTGAAAAATGCAGAAAAAAATGGAAGAAAAATAAATATAGCCTCAGGGGCTCTGGGACAAAATCAAATGGTCTAATATACATGTAACTGGAGCCCAAGAAGGTAAAGAGAGTCCGAATGTGGCCAAAAAACAAACAAACAAACAAATAAAAAACCTAAAGAAATAATAGTAAAACAAAAACCAAACAAAAAAATTTCCAAATTTGATGAAAAACATCTAACTACCAATCTCAGAAACTCAGTAAATCCCAAATAGAATAAATATGAAGAGAACCACATCTTGGCATATCATAGGCTAACTGCTGAAAACCAAAGAAAAGAGAAACTATTGAAAGCAGCCAGGGGGAAAAAGGGGCACATTAGGTACAGAGATTAGTAAGAGTCAGAATGAGTGCTAACATCTCATGAGCTACAATGAGGCCAGAAGAGAATGGACCAGCATCTTTAAAGTGCTGAAAGAAATTTCATTTCTAACCATTATGTCCCTTGGATGAATTACTTTACTACCCTTAGATGCTCTCACATATGAAATGATAACAACACCTGCCACACATTGTTTTCATAAGTCTGCATGAGATGAAATGTGTAAACTTCTCCAGAATGGTGGTGTACTATTCAAATGGTTAGGTATCATTACTGTACACATATAGGTACAAACTCACATAGCTCTGTGTACTCAAAAGAATAGAAAGCATGGCAAACCAGCATCAACTTGATTTGATCCTGAAATAGAAACTACTTTTGGCCAATTCAGCCTGTCAGCCAAGGAAGAAATCTGTCTTCTAGTAGGAGGAGTGACATCTTGTGAGAAGGAAATTCAGCATAAAAGATTAAGTACAATCCCACTCAATAATTAAGAACAACTCTTTACAGTGTAACTACATTATTTGAAATGCTAAAAATTCCCAAAATATCAGATATATTCATAAGAAGAAAAATACATTATTCATACTACCACTTACTTCCAAAAGTATCTATAATTAAGGGCTGACTTTGTAAGTTATTGTTTTAAATAGCCTATTTCCCTTAAAATTACTCAAGATGAGGTTCTTTAAAGTGGCCATCTATTCAGGTTGCAATGTGAGCGCCTCCATTTCCTGCTTGATTGGTGAGGCCTTATTTTTATGTGTGATTAGCTGGAGTCTATACTGAGAGTCTCCTGTTCTCTAACTGCACCCCTGTGGGCTACAATATAGGATTATATTAGCTGTAGCAAGGCAATTTTGCCACAATAATGCTTCTATTTGATTATGCATACAAATGTAATACCATTAGCCAAAGGTGGCTTTGCAGAAAATCTCTGTCCTGCTTAAGCGGTGTATAATAATTGTTGTTAAACTTGATGATCTTCAGAATCACCTGGAGAGTTTTTGTAAAATATAGATTCCTGAGCTCCATAGCAACATAAGTTTCCAGTAGATCTGGAGCCCAGAAGCATGTATTTTGAAGAATCTCCTCAGGTAATTCTCATGATCAGCTAAGTCTCATATAAAATAGAGAGCAGATAGCTTCTTTGAAAAGAAAGAGCTTATTCTAACAAGAAATTCCTGTTACTTTTTTGTTTCCTATAATTTAAATTAAAAATTGGCACAGTTGGCCTTGACACAAACCTTAAAACAACAAAATACTAGCTTACCTGGAACATCTCATTAATGCCTTCTCCAGTTTGTGCTGAAGTTTCAAAGTACAGGAACCCTTTACTTTCAGCCCAAAGACGTCCTTCACTTTCATCTATACAGCGGTGCTTGGTACAATCAATCTGAAATGTGGGGGCGGGCAGAGAGAAGATGACAACCCTGTCCTACTAGAATGGACCCAGGGTGGTCTTTGTCAGTCGTTTACTAAGGCAAAGCTATTCTTAGTAAATGCCTGTACTAGTGTGTAAAATCACCAGGACCTAAAAGGACAGAAACAAATCCTAATATTGAATGTAGACTGATATTCTATAGCAGTAGGACTAGTTCCTGTTGCTGCAATGCCCCACCTGACCCCTTGGGAAAACTGCTGTTACTCAGTTCTGTGAAAGTTGGCTTCATGATATCTGCCATACCTTTGGGGCCACAGTCTGCTTTTCATACCTTTCCCCAGTCCACATCACCTAATTAATGCCCCTCCTCCAGTTGGGTCAAAGTGTAATTACCCATGGCTCCTGCTCAGTCACCAACATCCTTTCCCAAGTATGGCACCAGAAAAAAAAAAGTATACAAATCTTGATATAGCAGGTTTTAGGTTGCTGTGTCATTTTGTTTTTGTCTTAGGGACATTATGTTTTGAAAGGTTATTGATTCCCATATTACACAATAAGGAATTTTTCTTTTTATTTGATCCCCAACACTCAAAGCTCCACTGTTCCCCTAGAAACCTGAACACACCATTTCCAAAGGGGTTACCTTGTTGGCACAAACTACAAATATAATATTTTCCATGTTTCCATGAGGTCCAAGCTCTTGCTTCATTTCTGCCAGCCATGCATCAAGGGCATCAAAGGAGTCTTTCTGCCCAACATCATAGACCAGTATCACACCCTGTGTGTCCTTGTAAAACTCATTTCGAACCTTCAAATAAAAGGACAGATGCACAAAATGTAGTTTTTGTGATGTTATAAGAATATATCTCATAGTCATTAACCTGGCAAAATGTGTTCTTTTGTGTATTTACAGTGTTTGCTATTGTATCTCAGTTTCTACTGGTCTCTAAAAGTCTTTTTATAGAATCAAAGTATTGTCATTCTAAAAAGTTATTAGTATGGAAGGACTTATAATGGAAAACAACAGCCTCCTGCCCCACTCCGCCCCACCTCCAGTTCCACTCCCTAGAGGCAATCGGTCTTTAACTATTAGTAGATCTTAAAAGAATACCAATTATATAAAGTTCTTCTTAGGAAGAATTAGGAAGATGAATGAGCAATGCAAAAGAACTTAAGGCAAAAATAACACAAGTATTAGCAATGGGTAGAGCCATTTATATATCACATCCCAAAGCCAGCTTTCCCCAGGGTGCGAGGCAGAGCTTCCCTGACTCTCGGGTCTGCACACCAGCTTTAGAACTCCAAACTCAGAGCCTCAGTGTAATACAATGGAAAAGGGCACAGGCTCTGGAGTCAGACAGATCTGGGTTCACACTTACTTACTAGTTGTATGATCTTGGGGAAGTCACTTAACCTCTCTGCGTCTCAGTTTCCTCATCTGTAAAATGGGGATAATACTACTTACTTCACAGGGTTATTATGAGGGTTAAATGAGATAATGCAGGCAAAGTACTTAGCATGGTGCCTGAAAAACAATGTCTATTTAACACCTTCTCCTTCCTTCCTGGCATCCATTCTCTGATTATCCTTTGATGCTTCATTAGAAATGGCAGCTTGCCTCTGGGGCATGGCTCCAAATCTGGGAAGAGGCAGCATGAAGTATGGGGCATACTCAAGCATTAGGGCCAAAGAGAGGTTGGGTGGGTGAGGAGCAGCATTGACATACGGGGATTCTGGGACAAAGTTCCAGAAAGAATCTTTACAAAAGCCATATATTATACATTCTTTTCACAAAATTCCCAAAGGTACTCAGACTCACACAGGCTATGCAGTAAGAAATGAAAACATGTTATACACATCAGGTAGGGTTTCTGGGCATAGGCAGATACCTGGACCAAGGATTTAGTGCTCCTAGTTGTTTACAGAAACCTAAGAAACTATCCTCAAAAGTTAAACCCAACCAAATCAGAAAGAACTGAAGATGATGAAGCCCACCAGGCCTTTCCCTCTGTACTCGAGGTCCTTGGCCCTTCTACAGCAGTTAACAATGGAGTCTCTCTTCTTTCCTGAAACTCCCGCTGCCTTGGCTCCGGTGTATCATATTCCCTAGGCTCTTACATTCTCTTTCACCAACTCCTTTCTCTCTATTGCTCCTACTCCAGCCCACCACCAAAGTGTCCTGTGCCCTCTTCCTTTCTTTTTGAATCCTTCCTCTTAAAGCAACATGAACCACTTGTACAGTTTCAACTGTGAGAATCTCCAAGATGAGCCCTCTCATCTGAGTTTCCGGACCAGCATTTCTAATTAGCACCAGACTCTCTCAGCTGAATGTCCTGTTGGAATCTCAAATTCAACATGCACAACACGAAACACTTCAACTTCTTTCTCCTTAAACGATTCTTCAAAGTTCCAACTCTCTCAAATGATGTTCAAAGTTTCTGATCAGTCCTCCGCCAACCTTTCCGGTCTTATCCTCCCACTATCCCCTGACCTTCCAACTGGGTAATCTCTCATTCCCCAAACCTGTCCCATGCCTTCCTAACTTCATCTGGAAACAGACACCTCTTTATCTTTAATCGTTCAAGCCCTGGCTATAATGCTGTATCTTTCATGCAGTTTTCTCTGCCCCATTCCTCACCATCCAGCCCCCATTCCTGCCAAACAGAATGTAATCTCTATGTCCCCTGTACCATACTGTTTGTACTTCTAATAGTGCTATCACTTCTGCCCAGTTTTGCAGTTTGTAGCATATCCAGCTGTCTTCCCTCCTCCGCTAGAAGAAACATGAAGACATGCATCTTGATGCATCTATCCTTGTGTCACCCACAGGGCCTAGCCGATACAGGCACATCTCAGTTTACTACACGGTATGTAGATATTTATTGCACTTATGTTAGGCACACAGCACACCTCACTTTATTGCACGGTATGTGGATACTGTGTTTTTTACAAAGTGAAAGTTTGTGGCAACCCTAAGTCAAGCAAATCTATTGCTGCCATTTTTCCATAGTGTGTGTTTACTTTATGTCTCTGTGTCACATTTTGGTAACACTCGCAACACTTCAAACTTTTCATCATTGTTTTATCTGTTATGATGATCTGTGATCAGTGATATCTGTTTCTATTTTAAGTGTCTTGGGGTACCATGAACATATAAGCTCATTTAAGAAGGCAAACTTAATAAATGTAGTATATATTCTGACTGTTCCATTGAATGGCTATTGCCCCATCTCTCTCACACTCCTTGGGCCTTCCTATTCTCTGAGACAAAACAATATTGAAAGTAGGCCAGCTGGGCGCAGTGGCTCACGCCTATAATCCCAGCACTTTGAGAGGCTGAGGCGGGTGGATCACAAGTCAGGAGTTCAAGACCAGTCTGGTCAACATGGTGAAACCCCGTCTCTACTAAAAACATAAAAATTAGCTGGGCATGGTGGCATGTGCCTATAATAGCTACTTGGGAAGCTAAGGAAGGGGATTCACTTGAACCTGGGAGGTGGAGGTTGCAGTAAGCTGAAATCACGCCACTGCATTCTGGCCTGGGTAACAGAGTGAAACTGTCTCAAAAAAAAAAAAAAGAAAGTAGGCCAATTAATAACCCTACAATGGCCTCTAAGTGTTCAAGTAAAAAGGAAGAGTCACATATCTCTCATTTTAAATCAAAGGCTTGAAATGATTAAGCTTAGTGAGGAAGACATTTCGAAAACTGAGATAGGCCAAAAGCTGGGCCTTTTGTACCAAACAGCTAGCCAAGTTATGAATGCAAAGGAAAACTTCTTGAATGAAATTACAAGTGCTACTGTGGTAAACTCACGAATGATAAGAAAGTGAAGGAGCACATTGCTGATATGCAGAAAGTGTTTGTTGTCTGGATAGAAGTGTAAACCTGCCGGGCGCGGTGGCTCAAGCCTGTAATCCCAGCACTTTGGGAGGCCGAGGCGGGTGGATCACGAGGTCAAGAGATCGAGACCATCCTGGTCAACATGGTGAAACCCCGTCTCTACTAAAAATACTAAAAATTAGCTGGGCATGGTGGTGTGTGCCTGTAATCCCAGCTACTCAGGAGGCTGAGGCAGGAGAATTGCCTGAACCCAGGAGGCGGAGGTTGCGGTGAGCAGAGATCGTGCCATTGCACTCCAGCCTGGGCAACAAGAGCAAAACTCCATCTCGAAAAAAAAAAAAAAAAAAAAAAAAAGAAGTGTAAACCAGCCACAACCTTCTCATAAGCCAGAGCCTAATACAGAGCAGGTCCCTAACTCTCTTCATTTCCATGAAGGCTGAGAGAAATGAGGAAGCTACAGAGGAAAAATTGGAAGCTAGCAGTGCTTGGTTCATGAGGTTTAAGGAAAGAAGCCATCTTTGTAACATAAAAGTGCAGCATGGAGCAGCAAGTGCTGATGTAGGGCTACAAGTTATTCAAAATATCTAGCTAAGATCATCGATGAAGGTGGCTAATCTAAGCAACAGATTTTCAGTGTAGATGAAACAGCCTTAGAATAGATAGATCTAATGGAAGATGGTATCTAGGACTTTCAAGGCTAGAGAGGAAAAGTCAATGCCTGGCTTCAAAAGCTTCAAAGCACAGGCTGACTTTCTTGTTACAGGCTAACAGAGCTGATGACTTTTGGTTGAAGACAATTCTCATTTGCCGTAATGAAAATCCTAGGGCCCTTAAGAGTTATGATAAATCTACTCTTCCTGTGCTCTATAAATGGCACAGCAAGGTCTGGATGACAGCACATTGATTTTAGTGTAGTTTACTGAATATTTTAAGCCCACTGTTGAGACCTGCTACTCAGAATAAAGATTCCTTTCAAAATATTACTGCTCATTCACAATGCATCTAGTTACCTGAGTTCTGATGGAGATGTATAAGGAGATTAAAGCTGTTTTTATTATGCCTGCCAACACAACATCCATTCTGCAGTCCATGGATCAAGAAATAATTTTGATTCTCAAGTCTTACCACTTAAGAAATACATTTTGCGAGGCTATAGCTGCTATAGTGATTACTCTAGGCAAAGTAAATTGAAAACCTTCTGGAAAGCATTCTAGATGCCATTAAGAACATTCATGATTCAGGGGAGAGGTCAAAGTATCAACTGAGTTCAGAAGTTGATTCCAACCCTTGCAGGCAATTCTGGGGGAGTTTAAGGCATCAGTGGAGGAAGTAACTGCAGATGTGGTGGAAATAGGAAGAGAACTACAATAAGAAGTGGGGCCTGAAGATGCGACTGAATTGCTGCAATCTCACAATAAAAAATAAATAAGAAGTTGCCTCTTACCAATGAACAAAGAAAGCAGTTTCTTGAGATGGAATCTACTCCTAGTGAAGATGCTATGAACATTGTTGAAATGAGAACCAAGAATTTAGAATATTACATAAACTTAGTTGATAATGAACAGCAGAGTTTAATTGGATTGACTCCAATTTTGAATGAAGTTCTAATGTGGGTGAAAATGCTGTCAAATAGCATTGCATGCTACAGAGAAATCTTTCATGAAAGGAAGAGTCAATCAGTGTTGCAAACTTTATTGTTGTATTATTTTAAGAAACTGCCACATTAACCACCACCCTGATCAGTCAGCAGCCATCATCACTGAGGCAGCCTCTGATCATAATAGAATCAAACTAGAAATCAGTAACAGAAGGATAACAGGAATATGTCCTAACACTTGGAAACTAAACAGCATAATTTTTTCCTTCTTTGTGTTTTTTTAAATTGTTTTTGAATAGCACACTTGGTTTTTGAGATTGAGTTTTACTCTGTCACCCAGGCTGGAGTGAAAGTGGTGCAATTTTGGCTCCCTGCAACCACTGCCTCCTCGGTTCAAGCAATTCTCCTGCCTCAGCCTCCGGAGTAGCTGGGATTACTACTACATGCGCCACCATGCCCAGCTAATTTTTGTATTTGTAGTAGAGACGGGGTTTCACCATGTTGGCCAGGCTGGTCTCAAACTCCCGACCTCAGGTAATCCACCCTCCTCAGTCTTCCAAAGTGCTGGGATTACAGGTGTGAGCCACCGCACCCGGCCTGAATAACACACTTCTAAGTAACTCACGAGTCAACCAGAAAGTCTCAAGGGAAATTAAAGAAATACACTGAAGCCGGGTGCGGTGGCTCATGCCTATAATCCCAGCACTTTGGGAGGCCGAGGTGGGTGGATCACGAGGTCAAGAGATCGAGACCATTCTGGTCAACATGGTGAAACCCCATGTCTACTAAAAATATAAAAATTAGCTGGGCATGGTTGTGCAAGCCTGTAGTCCCAGCTACTCGGGAGGCTGAGGCAGGAGAATTGCTTGAACCCAGGAGGCCGAGGTTGTGGTGAGCCGAGATTGTGCCATTGCACTCCAGCCTGGGTAACAAGAGTGTAACTCTCTCTCAAAAAAAAAAAAAAAAAAAAAAAAAAGAAAAGAAATACAATGAACTGAGTGAAAATGAAAATACAACATCTCAGAATTTGTGGGACACAATTAAAGCTGTGCTGAGAGGGAAATCTGTAGCATTAAATGAATTTATTAGAAAAGAAAAAAGTCTCAAATAAATAATCTAAGCTCCCACCTCAAGAATCTAAAACAAAATGAGCAAAATTAGCCTAAAGCAAGCAGAGAAAAGGAAATGATAAAAATAAAAGCAGAAGTGAAATGGCCAAACCAGAAAAGAACAAAAAAACCTCCTTGGGAAAAATGAAAAAGCCCAAGGAAGGAAAAACAGAAGAGAATGGTCATGAGATTCATTTGGGGATTACTTAGGGGTGATAAGCAGATGAAAGTAAACCAAGTGGTTGCTTTAGCTTCTTCTCTGCAAAGAGTGCACATGACTCTTTCCAGAGAATAGGAATGATTACTCCAGTATCCTGATATGAAAGAAGTCACAACACTGAGTTCTTAAGTCCAAGCATAAATGTAATTATTTTTTCACATTTTAGGCTAACGTATGAGGTAAAAAGCAAAAGCCCTCTGAAAGTCAAAATGTTTTAACAAAATGTTTGAAATATTAGCAATGAAAGTTCCTACTGCTATTTAATGGGATAACCTAAAAGATTAACAGGTGTCTATTAACTTAAGGCTCTGAAGGCAAGCCACAATCAAGCTAAATTTATCCAATTTTACATATGATTTCAATATTGGTTGTTTTAGATAATTTTAGATCTTTCCCAAACCACCACCAATACTGGATATAGGTTTTGTTAAAAAGGCTTTCTTACCTCATAGAAGAAGGGATGTCCAGCCATATCAAAGATGTTAACTTTGATTTCTCTGTCTCTGACGTGTACCCTGAAATGTTCAAATGAAAACAATCCCAAAGAAGGTCATGGTTTCTCCATTTACCTTAATATCATTTATAAATTTTAAAGGGTATGTGTATGCAATTTAAGAAGCTTTCTTAGTGCCTCTTGTTGATTCCAGATCATCTTTATAACAGAAGTCAGCAACCTGACTGATGATCCTACCTTCTTATCTCAAGAACACTGAACTCACATGGAGTAGGCATTCTCAATTACGTCACCTTCACCCTCACCTCTAGATTCTTTGGTCCACAGCTCCCAACCAACAAAGGGTAATTATTACTATGGTATTAAGAAAAATTGATTTGGGATAAACAGGAGCAAGATGAAGGAAAATGAAAAGCTTTATTTCACTTAGTAAGAGACATCTTAATTATCATTGGTTATATTTGGTTACCATACAGTAGAATAACAAAGATGTATATTAATGATGTGTATTTAATTTTCTTGTGATCTTTATTTGAGTAAGGGCAATAAGTGAATTTGTTTTCGGAAATTTGGAAATAAAGGATAAAACAAAAGGGGAAACAATAACCATTCACATTAGAAGTAAATACTGTTAACGTCACAGCGTATTTGTTTCTAGGCTTTTTTTTTCCATGAAAAATCACCATTGAAAAATGATAAAGGAATATTAGAATTCAAACACTAAAGAAAAACACAAAGATGAATGCTTAAAAGTTATTCCAGGCCAAGAGGTAGGGAGAGAGACGCAGTGAAATGAGCCGTCTAGACTCCCTCCCTGATTTCAGCCTCCCTCCCTGATTTCAGCCTCCCTCCCTGATTTCAGCCTCCCTCCCTGATTTCAGCCTCCCTCCCTGATTTCAGCCTCCCTCCCTGATTTCAGCCTCCCTCCCTGATTTCAGCCTCCCTCCCTGATTTCAGCCTCCCTCCCTGATTTCAGCCTCCCTCCCTGATTTCAGCCTCCCTCCCTGATTTCAGCCTCCCTCCCTGATTTCAGCTTCCCTCCCCGATTTCAGCCTCCCTCCCTGATTTCAGCCATCTCTGAGGCCCAGCTGCATCCTTGTCACTAGACTTTGCGACTTGATAGATATCCTTTTTCTTTCATTTTGCTTAAGTTGGTTTGAAATAGGTTTCTGTCAATTATATCCTCCTGACTCATCATGGGATAAACATCTCTTCCAAAAAAATTCTGGCAGAAAAAGAATAGTCTGCTGAATATACCATGGTCCCATGGCATAATATGGTAATTCTCACATCTTAGATAAATAAACTAGCTACTTACATGAATTCAGAACAAAACTACCTTAAATAGGATGTCCTACTATCTCACTGATGAAATTCTATGCTTTGAAGTAGGAAAGAGGAAAAGAAAACTAGAAAGGTGAATTTTATTTTTATTTGTTTATTTTATTGAGATGGAGTCTCACTCTGTTGTCCAGGCCAGAGTGCAGTGACATACTCTTGGCTCATTGTAACCTCCGCCTCCCGGGTTCAAGTGATTCTCCCACCTCAGCTTCCCAAGTAGTTGGGATTACAAACACCTCCCACCATGCCTGGCTAATTTTTATATTTTTAGTAGAGATGAGGTTTCACCATGTTGGCCAGGCTGGTCTCGAACTCCTGGCCTCAAGTGACCTGCCCACCTTGGCCTCCCAAAGTGCTAGGATTACATGCCTGAGCCACTATTCCCAGCCAGAAATGTGAATTTCAAATGAAGAGCTTCATACGTTTCACTGCCAAGAGCTACAATTTTCATTCTTTAAGGAAAATTTGCAGAAATACCCTCTGCCGCTGTTAGTTGAAAAATGGTGCTATAAGAGCATTACACAGAACTCTTGAGTTTTACTTTACCATTTACTGGGGCCACTATAAAAAGTCATGAAGGATACGTCTAAATTTGACTCCACTCTTCACCTAATCGACATTCTGCTAGCTATACATCACAACTTTAGTCTACCTTCTTGAATACTGCCCTCATAGACTAATCTGGCAAACTTCCTCTTTAAATGTATCTATCTTACCTAACAATAAATATTTGTTGAGTACCTATTAGGTGTAAGCACTATGCCAGGCACAGGGAGTTTATAATCTAGCAGGAGACATTAAACATATACAAATAATAACTATACAAGGCAATTTATAGTAAATACCATAAATAGCATAGAGAATGTTACGATTTCCATCATTTGCAACCAAAAAGAGTCCTGACCAATAAAGGGCATGTTTAGAAGACCTTATGGGAACAGGAGATTTTTTATATCTTGAAGAAATTGGCAGGGGTACTCCAAGAAGACAGAGTGAATAATAGCACTGAGGAAAAAGTATGAGGGTAACAGTTCAGTGTGGATGGAAAGTAAAGCGCATAACAGAAAGAGAAAAGGGGGAAGGCCAGACTGAGGCTAAGATAGTGAATGCCTGAAATTTCATGTTTAGGGAGTGTGCTATCTACCCCAATTCCACTCTATGGCTATTTCCTGCTAATTTAATCTAACTCTTCAAGCTCAACCCCCTCCTGACTCATCTCCAGGTAAATCCCCAATTAGACCCAACTTTACTCTTTCCAGATGATTTTTGTTGCATTCTAACAGCTATGAAAGATCATAAGCCAATAAGAAAAGTTCTCTGGTAGAAAATTTTCCACATAATATTTATAGACTTTTTAGAGAGAATATTTCAAAATGCTCTAAAAACACACCTACTGAAAGGACCTGTTAATATAGAAACATGTTTCCTAGAAAGTTACACCTGCTAGTTAGGCTTTGTGTTGAAATGTTCATCGTTGCAGCCTACACCTAACACAAGGCCTGGCGAATACAGTGTGCTTAATACCAGTATGTGGGCTGAATGAATGATGTGATCACTATATACCTGCAAAAGCCTTCTATTCCCATCTTTCCCAACTTATCTTCAAAGTCTCTGTTTCAAGATTACCTGCACAAGGGCACTGATGCAAAATGAGATCATTTCAGAAATTTCTGAACTTCTGTGTAATTTACAAACCCAGGGAAACAATATACTTACTTTGTGACTCCATAGTCAATTCCAATTGTTGCCAGGTATTTAGACACGAATCTTTTCTCACAGTATCGCTTTATAATACAGCTCTAAAAAGGTAAATATACAGGCATTTAGTAAATATATACTGAAAACACATGGAAAATAAGTATATTTCTTCATTATGGTTCCTTCATTCATCACTATGAAAAAGCACTTTCAAAAGACAAAAATGGCTCAGTGCAGTGGCTCAGGCCTGTAATCTCAGCACTTTGGGAAGCCAAGGCAGGTAGATCACCTGAGATTAGGAGTTTGAGATTAGCCTGGCCAACCTGATGAAACCCCATCTCTACAAAAATACAAAAATTAGCCAAGCATGGCGGTGGGCAGCTGTAATCCCAGCTACTTGGGAGGCTTAGGCAGGCGAATCATGTGAACCCAGGAGGCAGAGGTTGTGGTAAGCTGAGATTGCTGCCATTGCACTATAGCCAAGGTGACAAGAGTAAAACTCTGTTTAAAAAAAAAAAAAAAAAAGACAAAACTATAAAATAACTGAAACAATTATTAAAAGATTTTAAGAAAAATTATTTTTAAATTCTTCCCTTATTACTAAATATGTATATGTTTTCAGTTGAGTTCTCAATCTTGTGCTCTTTTCTTTTGAAGATCTCTTTTATTCTTATCCTTTCAATGACAACACCAAAATATCTGTCTAGCTTTGACCTCACTGCCAAGACCAGATCCACATCTCCAAATATCTATTAAATTCGTTCCTTTTTTTTTTTTTTGAGCCCAGGAGGCAAGGCTGCAGTGAACCAAGATGGTGCCAATACACTCCAGCCTGGATGGCAGAGGGAGACCCTGTCTCAAAAAAAGAAGAAAAAAAATTCTGTTAAATTAATTGAATTGGGTTTGTCCTACTTGCAGTAAAAAGTACCCACTTCATAGAGTATTGTACATACTTCTGGAGTTTGCTTTTCTCTCTTAAGAATGATAAATTATGGTTCCCAAGTTAACTTTAAAATAGCTAGTCCATGATATACAAATATGCCCTTTTTATTGCTTGCTAATTACTCTGTCGTTTGATTTGTTGTTTAAGCCAAGGATTATTTACTAAGGCATTCCTTAATTTTTAACTTTAAAATGCTTTACCTGTATATCATCCTATATTTTCCAAATCCTTTAAAATGAGTAAGTATGTGCTACTTTTACGACTAAGGCAAAATAGTAAGTTTTTTTAAAAAAGTTACACTTAAATCTTTTATTCATCTTGAATTTATTTTTGAGAAAGAAATGCAATAGGAATCCAACCTATTCCCAAATAGCAGATAGTTGTTCCAACAATATTTACTAACTGATATCTATTTTCCTAAAATTTTACTACATTTGTTGTGAATTGAATTTCCTTATATATTTAGGTTTATTTCTGGATTCTGCTCTGTTCCACTGATGTCTCCATATTTCCTTCCCAATACCAATGAGAAACGTTTGGTAGCTTGAAAACAAAAATTTTTAAATTAAATTATCATTTTATTGCTTGAGTACATAGACAAATTTATATGACCAGGGCAGAGGCTGTAGATGACTCCTTTCCAATTGGGAGGGAGGACTCACTTGGTCTTACAATACTGAGCCAAAGGGTCAACCCAATTCTGTAAGAATTACATGGAATTTAGTATCCTTAACCTTTCTGTTCATCTCAAGATGCTTTCAGACAACTACTTTTTTTTTTTTTTTTTTTTTTCGAGGTGGAGTTTCACTCTTGTTGCCCAGGCTGGAGTGCAATGGCATGATCTCCACTCACTGCAACCTCTGCCTCCTGGGTTCGAGGAATTCTGCTGACTCAGCCTCCTGAATAGCTAGGATTACAGGTGCATGCTACCACGCTCAAATAATTTTTGGTATTTTTAGTAGAGATGGGGTTTCACCATGCTGGCCAGACTGGTCTTGAACTCCTGACCTCTCGTGATCCACCTGCCTCGGCCTCCCAAAGTGTTGGGATTACAGGCATGAGCCACCACACCAGGCCAACAACTACTTCTTAATTAAAGGGTAGAGATCTTCAGGGAGATCAGGAACAAGTCCCTTCGTGGACTTAAGACTTCTTAAGATTTTATTGCCTGGCACAAAATGTACTTGAACAACACCATGTGAGTCTCTCAAGATCACACTTGAAAAGGGAATCACGTTTTAACTTCCAACACCAAAGACAAACTGGAGAATGTGATGACATGAAGGCTCAGGTATCACGGCAGAGTTTCCTATTTGTAAGACGGGGGTCTACTTTTATACATCACAGAAACCAATATGGGTATGCATAAAAACACTAAGGAAAACCTTTCTGGTGGAAACTGAATGTTGGAAAACCATAATCACAGTGAGAAACTTTTGTTTCTTTTTTCTTCATCTCTAAAAAGTTTTTAGAGATGGAACCTTGCTCTGTTGCCCAGGCTGGAGTTCAGTGGTGCGATCTCAGCTCACTGAACCTCCGCCTCTCCAGTTCAAGCAATTCTCCTGCCTCAGCCTCCCGAGTTGCTGGGACTACAGGCGCCCACCACGCCTGGCTAACTTGTTGTATTTTAGTAGAGATGGGGCTTCACCGTGCTGCCAAAGCTGGTCTCAAATTCCTGAGCTCAGGCAATCTGCCCGCCTCAGCTTCCCAGAGTGCTAGGATTACAGGCGTGAGCCACTGCGCTCAGCCTGAAAAATATTTTAAAATGGTAGATACAGTTAGTCTTCCCTCATTTCTTTTTTCCCCCACAATTTTCTTGGTTGTTTTCACATTAATTTTTCATAAAGACTTTAGTAATCTTGTATTACGTTCTGAAAAAGAAAACCCTTATTGATGTTTTCACTGGAATTGAATTTCATTTGTAGGTTATTTTGAGTAATTCACATCTATACAATATTGCGTGATCCTATCTAAGGAAAAAGTGTATCTTTCCATTTGCCTAAGTAATTTATGTCCCTTTGTAGAGTCTGAAACTTGTCTTCATATAGTCTACCTATTTCATGTTAAGTTTAAACCTAGGCACTTTATTTTTGTTGTTACTGTAAATTAAAATTGTTTTTCAATACACATTGCAACTGAATATAATTTGGACACAATAAAGTCATTGATTTGTTGGTATTAATTTTGTTTTATTGAATTTTTGCAATGTTTCTAATAGTTTTTCAGTTAATTCTCTTTGGATTTCCAGGTAAACAAACACATTATTAGCAAATAATAATTTTACCTTCTCCTTTCTAATATTTCATATTTTCTTAGTCTTGCCCAATTGCATTGGCTAATAAAACTGGAAAAATGTTAAATAGATGTGGTGACACCAGGCATTATGAGCTGTTTCCCATGTTATATCATTAGGCACAGTAAAATTACTTTTTTTTTTTTTTGAGATGGAGTCTCATGCTGCCTCCCAGGCTGGAGTGCAATGGTGTGCTCTCAGCTCACTATAGCCTCTGCCTCGCTGGTTTAAGGGATTTTCCTGTCTCAGCCTCCTGAGTAGCAGGGATTAAAGGCTTCCATCACCATGCCTGCCTAATTTTGTATTTTTAATAGAGACGGTGCTTCACCATGCTGGTTATGCTAGTCTCGAACTCCTGGCCTCAAGTGATCCACCCGCCTCGGCCTCCCAAAGTGCTGGGATTACAGGCCTGAGCCACTGCGCCCAGTCCCTAGAGGCTTTTTTTTTTTTTTTTTTAAAACAGAAACCTACACAGCTGACGGTCAAAAACGTTGACTTTCAAGTGAATGTTATGCTAATACATGCACACTGATACATAAGTAGTATCATAAAATAAAAAACATTAGCAAACATTTACTGAGCATCTCCTGGGTGCTGGGCACTGGCCTAAACACTGCCTTAACAGCTCTTCTGGAGTCGATTTTCACCGCATACAGTGATGGCAGGAAAAGAGCACTGCAGTGGGAATGTGAAGACTCGGGTTCTAATCGTTTCTCAGTCACTGATGTGACGACGTTGGGAAGTTCTTAACCAACAGCTTCCACTTGCCCAGCAGGAGAGAATTTGGGTGAAGAGGAGGCCGTCTTAGAATTTTTATGGGAAAAGGCCTCAGGTTACCTCTGGCCTTCCCTCCTGCACACTAAAGGAGAGTTTACAGCTGATGCATAGATAGGGTAGAGAGAAGGGCGGTGGAACTAACAGATGTGGGGACACCACTAGATCCAGCCATCCACTGCACCTGCCCTGTGAAACACGTCAGCGTCATTACGCTCTCTCGTGACGGGAATGCAGAATCTGGGCTGCAGGGCACCATTTCGCGAACCCCAAATTCTCACACGCACCCCATGACGTTCCGCCGGCTCCCAGGCACAGCGAGGGGAACTAAACTTTCATCCTCCACCTCCCGGTCCCAGACGGCCCCCTAGAACGCGGGCACGGTATCTAGGCCAACGGCCCCGCATGGGGATCCAGGCCTCCTTACTCTTTTAGGGGCACATTCAAGGCTTAGAGGCCACCCCAGACACCTTCTCCGGGAGAGTGACGTCGGAGGAGGAGGGGGCAACGCAAAGGTCAAAAAGGTCACGGAGTTTTCGCTCGCGGAGCCGCAACCCTCCGCGGAGACCCTGGCCTGTTCGGGGGCGGAGAGGAGGCCGGGCCCCAGGCTGTTGAGTGGCCGCCCTTGCAGCCAATGGGCACGTCGCCCCACTGCGCTGGGGCCCGCCCCTCCCGGCGCGCTGTACTCACTTTCCCCACTTCGGCGTTGCCCATGGAGATGACTTTGATGCGGAGGGACCTGCTGGGCTCCTTCCGCTTCGGCATGTTGGCCTCCATGGCCCTGGCTCTCTCGGGGCAACCCGCCTCGGTCTCTCCTTGTGCACGGCTGGCCAGTCCCTCAGGCCTCCTTGTCCAATGGCAGACCCGCTGCTCTCGTCACCGCCTCGGCTTCGCGGCTCGCCATCCCCGCCGCTGCCTGGCAGCAGGCGCTGACGGTTGGGAGCGCTGGGAGCCGCGGGAGGGAGGTGGGAGTCTCGCGATGCTAGCGCAGGGCGGCTGACGTCATCGGCAGGCCCTGGAGACACGGCTGCAGTTACCGGGTCTCTAGGGACGCGTGCCCTGACAGGAAGGCGGCGTTGGAGGGTGGCTGGGTTTACCCTTCGGGGTGAGCGCGGCGTTGCTCTCAGGGGCTCCTGGACGGGAGACGTTTGTTGCTTTCGCAGCCAAATGGTGGAAATGTATTGGCTAACTCGGGGCAGGTCGGGTAGTATCTGGTTCGTTTGTTGTTGTTGTTGTTTTCTTTTTTTTCTGGATTCTTCTTCGGTTCCTTGGTCCGTTTCACCAGTCCCATATTATGTTCCCTTTGCTCGAGATCCCCGAGAGGCAGGCCGCGGAGCCGGTAAAGCAGGGGGGTCGGAACCCTGGTTCTGGAAGAGGGCCTTGGGCAAGGCGGGAAGCGATTCTGATTCTCGTTCATATCGCTTTTCCTTTTCAATGCACGTGTCCATTTGGAGTCAAGGCAAGAGCCTTAGTTTAGTCTTGGCCGTCCTGCTACGGAGCAGTGACGGATTTGTTGACTCCTCTGTCGGAGAAAGGCTGGGCCTGCTGCAGGGAGCAGTGGAAGAACAGTGAGTCCTATGAGAGCCACTTTTCTGCGCTCATTCCAGGGGATGAGAAAAGCGGTTGGTTGAATCGAAGTCAGTCTGACAGGAACGGCAATTTTTTTTTTCAGCCAATATCCTCAGTTACTGAAGATAAATACAACGTGGCAATAATTGTTTATAGTGCCCTGAAAAAGAATGGCTGCCAATTTCCCTGTATATTACAAAGACAAAAGTAGCATGGCCTCTTTTCTCACCTAACTTTGAACGTCTTCAAGGAAGTGCCTTACAGGAAGGCAATGAACAAAGGCTCAGCAGTTCATAGTAAAGGTCAGATTTTCAGACATTTTAATTTTAAAATGTGTTTTTTCAAACATTAAGTTTTTTCTAAGACAAGTTTATTCTGGATTGTTTTTATAATCAAATAATATAACTTAATTCACTGAAGCTTCTAAAATTCTTTACAAATGTGAAATAGGCCCTGGTTAGAATTTGGATAGCTTTAAAGCTTAAAAGAATCCACATGCTAGCTTCTCAGTATGATTTAATAAATTAAATTACTAAACATCCAATTTATTCTACAGTTCACCTTTGACCCCATAATAGGGTAGCTGTTAAACGACTGATTAAGAATGGTACTGTTGAGACTAAGCAATAAAACATGCTAGAGATTAAAATTGATTACTGTTTTCTCATATTGTTGCTTTTTCTTTTTTTTCTTCCCTTGAAACGGAGTTTCGCTCTTGTTGCCCAGGCTGGAGTGCAATGGTGCAATCTCGCTCACTGCAACCTCCGCCTCCCAGGCTCAAACAATTCTCCTGCCTCCGCCACCTGAGTAGCTGGAATTACAGGTGCCCGCCACCACACCCAGCTAATTTTTGTGTTTTTAGTAGAGACGAGGTTCCTCCTTATTGGCCAGGCTGGTATTGAGCTGCGGACCTCAGATGATCTGCCTCCGCCTCCCAAAATGCTGGGATTACAGGCGTGAGCCACCATGTCCGGCCCATGTTGATTCTTTTGACATTTTAATATGTATAGCTACATTTTCTATTGTATGTATTAAATTAGTTTGGAATTGAAAGAGCAAGATAGTCCCCCCTGCCCTGCATCTTTGAATATAAAATAAAAAATAAAAATCAGCACGAGTTAGCTGTTCTTTCCATAGTATGGACCTGGGAGGTATGGTTCAAGAATGGATTCTGGAACCAGCCTGTTATACTTAATGTTGGCATATTATGTAGGCATGAGGTTGTGGTAAGGATTGTAGGAGGTAATGCATATGAAGGGGTAGTGGCCTCCCAGAAGATAGCAGCTACATGCTTTCATTTGCTCATACCTTTTTTATGCATTAAGAAAAATCCTACATTTTTTAAATGTGTATTTTTAGAAAGTAAATTATGGGGACCTGATGTGGTGGCTCACGCCTGTAAACTCAGCACTTTGGGAGGCCAAGGTGGGCGGGTCACCTGAGGTCAGGAGTTTGAGGCCAGCCTGGCCAACATGGCGAAACCCCATCTTTACTGAAAGTACAAAACTTAGCCAGGTGTGGTTGTACGGCCTGTAGTTCCAACCATTCAAGAGGCTGAGGCAGGAGAATCGCTTTAACCTGGGAGGCAGAGGTTGCAGTGAGCTGGGATCAGGACACTGCACTACAGCCTGGGTGACAAGAGTGGGACTCTGTCTCAAAAAAAAAAAATTATGAAATATTTTGGACATACTTAAAGATATAAAGTATAATGGAATAAGTAGCTATGTATCCCCCAGCCAGTTTAAGAAATAAAATATCACCACTGGGCATGGTAGCCCACACCCATAATCCCAGCACCTTGGGAGGCTGAGGCCAAGGCCGGTGGATCATTTGAGCCCAGGAGTTCTAGATCAGCCTGGGCAACATGGTAGAACCCTTTCTCTCTAAAAAAAAAAAAAAAAAAAAAAAAAGTTAGCCATATGGTGGCCCAAGCCTGTAGTCCCAGTTATTCAGGAGGCTGAGGTGGGAGAATCACCTGAGCCTGGGAGGTTGAGGCCGAAGTGAGCTGTGATCATGCCACTGCACTCCAGTCTGGGCAATAAAGTGAGGCCCTTGTCTCAAATAGAAAGAAGAAAACGTCACTGATACTGTGTGTAGCTTTTCCCGATACATCTTTCCCCTCTACAAACAGTTGCAGTAATCTGAATGCTGCTTTAATTTCCAGGCATTTAAAATTATTTTACTACATATGAATATACACCTTAAAATGTAGTATTGCATTTCATCGTTCAAGACTATTTAAAAGTAATTTTACACAAAAAGTTTCTAGAATGGTAGCAAAAAAATCTTGTCTACCCTTTATCCAAATTCATCAATTGTTAACATTTTGTCCCATTTACTATATCACTGTGCCGTCTGTGTGTACATGTATAGTCACATTTTTCTGAGTAGTCTGAGGTTTATTTGTAGGTATCTTTCTTTTATAGATAGATTAAGATAGATAGATAGATAGATACATACATACATAGAGATATAAACACATAGAGGTCCAGCTCAATGGCTCACACCTATAATCTTAGCACTTTGGGATTCCAAGGCAGGTAGATCACTTGAGGTCAGGAGTTTGAGACCAGCCTTGCCAACATGGCGAAACCCCATCTCTACTAAAAATATAAAAATTAGCCAGGTGTGGTAGCAGATGCCTGTAATCCCAGTGACTTGGGAGGCTGAGGCAGGAGAATAGCTCAAAAAAATTCATATATATATATGTATATACACACACACATATACATATATATACACATTTACATATAGTATGTATATATATGTGTATGTATGTATATATGTGTATATATATGCACACACATTTTAATATGTATAGCTGCATTTTCTACTGTGTGTATATGTATGTTTTTTAGAGAGAGGAAGTCTTCACTATGTTGACCAGGCTGGTCTTGAACTCCTGGGCTCAAGCAATCCTCCTGCCTCAGCCTCCCGAAGAGCTGAGATTATAGGCATGAGCCACTGCACCCAGCCAATAGGTTTCTTTATCCATAAATACTTCTATGTGTGTTTCCTCAGAAAAAGGACTTTCTTCTCTACATGGCAACCGTATATCAAAATCAGAAAATGCAGCATTTATACTGCAGTATTATAAAATCCTGTGGTTTGAATCAAACGGTGCACTGAGGTACCTCACAGCTCCACAGTAAATTCACAGGGAGATATCTGTGGAATATTTTGCATTCTAAATTTTCAAGGCAAACAAAATGAAATCTAGACTATGTAAAACTCCTAGCTTGAGGTTGTTTACAGTTTCAACAATAGATGGTGCCAAATTCCTTGGCTATGTCATATCTTGATCTGGGTTTTCCAGTTGGTTGTGATGGAAAGTGAGTACAGTGTAAAAATCAATGCGCAACAGGAAATGAGGGTGGCCTTCGCCCAATCGATTCCAAGGTTTTAAGAAGTATGTGCCCTACAGGTGCACACATCCCTTTAGTAAGTGTGATTATTTAAGAATGAAATAAAAATGTTGTTTTCCTTTTAATTTGCATGTATTTTTTTTCAAATGGCTACTTAAATTATTAGGGCATAAATACTTAGTAAGTTGTTTGGACCTAGATATTTCTTTTCACCAAGGGGCATCGTAAAATACTGAGAGGCTGGGCGTGGTGGCTTATGAATGTAATCCCAGCACTTTGGGAGGCTGAGGTGGGTGGATCACTTGAGGTCAGGGGTTCAAGATCAACCTGGCCAACATGGTGAAACCTCATCTCTACTAAAAATACAGAAATTAGCCAGATGTGGTGTCAGGCACCTGTAATCCCAGCTACTCAGGAGGCTGAGGCAGGAGAATACCTTGAACCTGGAAGGTGGAGGTTGCAGTGAGCTGAGATCATGCCATTGCTCTCCAGCCTGGTTGACACAGTGAGACTCCGTGTCAAAACAAAACAAAACAAAAAACAACTGAGATACTAAAAGCACTGTGAACAAAGAAAACTTGGGAAACTTTTTTTTTGAGACGGAGTCTTGCTCTATTGCCAGGCTGGAGTGCAGTGGCATGATCTTGGCTCACTGCAACCTCTGTCTTCCAGGTTCAAGTGATTCCCCTGCCTCGGCCTCTTGAATAGCTGGCACTACAGGCATGCACCACCACGTCTGGCTAGTTTTTTGTTTTTTGTAGTAGAGACAGGGTTTTACTATGTTGGCCAGGATGGTCTTGATCTCCTGGCCCTGTGATCTGCCCACCTTGGTCTCCCAAAGTGCTAGGATTACAGGTGTGAGCCACCATGTCCAGCTGGGAAACTTTTATCTAACCCACAGTTAATACTTAAGTCCCAATAATATTCTTTTTTTTTTTTTTTTTTTTTTTTTTGAGAGGTAGTCTCGCTCTGTAGCCCAGGCTGGAGTGCAGTGGTGCAATATTGGCTTACTGCAACCTCTGCCTCCTGGG